AAACAAAAGCTTGCAGCCCGAGTGTCCTGTTCTTACTCTTCTAGTTCTGTTAAGTCAGTCAATACACCGATCCCTCAATGGTAGCATGTATCCGTAGATGTTAAGACATCCGCTTCAGGAACACTCTCAAACCACAGTTCATTCGGGGCCGTCTTGAATGCTAACACGGTATGCAGTTAGATTAGTTTCACAGTTAGTTTGTTCCATATGTTGACTACTCTGTTACTGAAGAAGTGTGATTGAGCAATTAACCGAAACCGGGTCTTGGCTAGCTTCATTTCAGGCCGCTTATTTGGCAACCTAACTTCTTCTGAAACAGGGATTCTGGTCTAAGACCGGAAAAACCTTTCATTATCTTAAATGTTTCTACCATATCTCCCTGGAGCTCTTTTTCCAAAGAGCATACTTTAAGATCCTGAGTGATTTGTTTGGCACACAGTCTGAATTCAGACGTAGGTCTGGCTGGTGGGCAAAATATAAATAAAAACGATCACAGTGGAATCTTCTGTTTGAGCAGCGTGAGTTCACACAGATCCAATAAAATGATAGATCACATCAGGATACTGCTACAGTAAAAATGTCAAACATTTTAGTATTCCAAGTTATCCAATACAACCATTAGTAGGCAACTACTTATAATTATATTCATTTAATTAAAAATAAAACATCATAGGTTTGTTCAAATATCACGATAATTATAGATTCGAATTCTTTTTGTAAATTTAAAATGTAGACGTTTTAACAAGATCAAGTACGGTTCGATCATTTATTTTATCTACCCTCCCAGTGTCACCATCACCCTAGTCCCATTAATTCTAACACACCTAAATGAAACCCTTCCTCATGGGACACTAATGAGAATCGAAGGTACTGTAATAAACCTTAAGGGATTCTAATGGTACTTCATAAAAATCTAGGGGACTCTAGTAGGACCGGGATAGAAGGATATTACTCAACGACCTAATTGTATTTTCAACATGGGTCCCACACATTCCAAGCGCTGTACAATAATTATATGCCAAAAACTACAAACGCTTTAGGAAATAACTACAGTCAGGATTATAGAAAAGATTCCTTGTGCATGAACACCTCCGTAGGCTGCTAATTATGAGCCGACTGTTATCCTTTAACATTTCCATCGTTATTTCTGCAATAATAATAACAAGTCTTAGTGCGCAGATTAAATTTCAGTCGAGACTTTAACGATCATAATAAGATCTAATTCTAACGGTCCCCTTTTTTTAATAAAACACAGTTAGATGACAAACGGAATATTATATGGTAAAATTAAAAATCAATCATTTATCTTCACAACAACTGGCTCGTCTGAATTTCGTCGAACATTCTCCCTGGTTAAATTTCGGTGAAAGCATTTTTCACGCGATTTTCGAATCCCTCGTCGGATTCCATCGCGGATCTTAAAGTTAACCTCTCTTTTCCCCATTTCATTATCTAAGAAAAGAACAATACATTTAATAAGAAGATAAGTGCTACCTGGCAATCGCTCATGCTGTGCTTGTGTGTTCGAGGTCCACCTTGCTTTACTTTACCTCCCAGTTTGTCACGGTTGATACGGAAGGGTGCAACAAGGCATTCATCCCGTGGTGGATGAATTCAAAAGTACAATATCTACTGACATAGGATATTTATTCCTTCTGAAATTGATACATATCTTTTCACACACTTCTGAATCCAGACTGTGTGCCAAACAAATCAAGGTGTAATAATCCTTATGGAAAAGAAAGACCTTCCATGATTCGTAATTTGATAACTTAACAAAAATAAGGTAAAGGACATCCGACAGTTTGTGCTGCAGTAAAATGGGGTCCAAATAGAACAGGAACTATCAGAACTCTGTAGCATTCCACCGTTCGAAGTCAAAAGGTCAATGGAACAGTCGACAGAAAACAACATTCATTCTGAAGAATGTGGACGAAAGTAAATCAATTGAAGGAGTAAGGGACCAGTTCGCCACAAACCAACCAAAGTTTAACAAATCATAGACACAATGTATGTTATCAAATGGAAATTGTTTTACTATGCCAACAGACAACATCTCAAATGGAGAATTACCTACACGTTGCTTCTCTTGTTTTCCAGAAAAGACTGAAAAATCCGATCTAAAGGTGTGGGCTCCATGGGAAGGGTCATTAGTTCACATAAATGTAAACCGGGTACTTCAGGCCGATCGCAGCTGAAAAACCTGAATTTTGCTTTACCTGTTTGACAAATTCTTGGGGAGTTGCTTCGCACAGTATGCTGCGGAGGAAAACGGAAATACGTCTGCCATCCTCAGTTGGATTACCCGATTCCAGCAGCGTCTTCACGTCAGAAATAAACTCGTGGAGGAAATTGTGGACATTCTTCTGCTTATAGTAGCCACGAAATAAGCTTACAGGGACTATTGATGCAATGGGACCAATAAACCCTCATAGGATCGGCCGGAATTGCAAGCGAGAGCTTCGGAACAAGTACAAGTCTTCAATATTTACTTAAAAACGTAGTTCCATAAGGTCATGGGAAAAAATACTTGCAAGGTTATCGTTTAGAAGACGCAAGGCTGAATCGTGTATAATCATCATCTTCTAATTTTTATTCATTTGTGGGGTTCCCAGCAATATTCGACTGCCTTTCGGTGAGCCATAATGTAACACACCTCATTCTCGAAGAATAATGTTTATGATGTTTGCATTCAACTAGGTTCTGATAGATATCCTTCTTGCAATCTCTACAGGAGTCGGTGTTGTAGTTGAATTTATTGAAACAGCATCAAACTGATTTGCAGAGGATTGATTCAAAGTTAGGCTGGTGTTCGCCGGAACTCTCATTCCCTGCAATTGTGTAAACATGACTGCTTGCACTTGTCGCATCAGTATGGAACAGCGTAATGTGTTTGTTATAAAATCAACACAGAATGCTTCATCAAATTTTTCAATCAATTGTTCTTGAACGCCCTCTGTTTACCAATGGCGTTCAATCTGGCTAGAAAAGTCTTCAAACAGCCCAGGATGAGGATCCACGCGGTTTGCACAGAGAGATATAATGAAACGTGACAAAGCACAATGCCGCGGTGTGAGAATTAAATGAAAATTACGCATAGTAACAAACTTGACAACAATCTTCATCTTCCATAATTTAAGGTTTTCATTAGGCTTCATTATAAAAAATCGCGTTCGTGGGATTTTATCACTCAATTTGTACACATACTCAGCAATAACAACTTCACCGATATTTCCTGGATATTGATCAACTGTAGTGTTTTGAAAGAGTCCAGGACTCCAAAGGGATAATGAATAATGCTATTGTCTCAATGGGACTCTAGTGGGATAGTTATTGGACGAAAATCCTTCTCATCAGAACAGAAGAAACGATAGCGGTAAATTTAAATAACTCGAAGCTGCTAGTGAGTAGTGCTGTGTGGGATAAGCGCTTTTGACTCCTGCGGACACTGTTCTCAGCACATTCAGTCTACAATTTAAAACAAATCCCTATTTTCAATAGGGCTGTTAGATGAATAGAGGAATTAGACACCGAAAATTTCTTTGGATCATATTCTTTTCGAGGGATGGGTGACTTGATTTTTGCACCAACGAGACAAACGGGCTATCCAACTAAACATTCATTTATGAGATTTGTAAATTAGTACACATGCGAGTCCTAAGTTTGTATGATCGGGCGTTTTCATCATTGTAAACTTTCTTGCTCACCTCTTCTTGTCGAGGCAGAACCGCAAATATCAGATAACTCTTATTACCAGGAAATGAAATTGCAATATTGGTGGTTATACGATTTTAAGCAGGAAGTGATGAAATGGAATAGACTAACTTTACGCCTCGGTGTAGGTTATATATTAACGAGAAATGGTGGAAAAGTATGAGGTATACAATGTGGTTTCTGTGTTGACAGTATCCATACGTTACACGACATTTACTGGGTAGCGACTTCGTTCTTTAATGACCATTGACGCTTAAACTATTATATTGTCTAAGAGTAAATGGTCTTGCCTTTAAGTGAAAACGACCTAGGTATCATTGAACAAATATACTGTTCGATCAACTGCGTCAAGCTTCGTCCGCACCAGTGAAGAATGTCGGCTTGCCGAGGTGCAGCACTGGTCGGTTTAACTCAGTACTATCCCCACATTTGTTATCAGTGTGCATTTGACTGTACACAGAGTTCGCCATCCAAGCCTGGAGGACATGGCTAAAATGTAAGGGTAAGATTCTGGGGCGTCCATAGATGATTGCCATCAAAATTTCAAGGGACTGTATTACCTCTTCCAAACAGGAAGATTACATTTATTGGGATTATATGATACTCAGTACTGCCGATTTTGAATGGGCTTCATTTTATTGAAGTAGATATTATATAACATAAAACATTCATATTCTCCGCTGCTCATGTTGTCGATTAACATCCACCTCACGGGACATGATTTCCAAGTGTCAACGGGAATGCCGGCGTCAATATCTTTTCGTCAGTGTGCATCTTCTGGGACGTCCAACCGTTTCACACCAGTTGTGTACTAACTGTTGAATCTGTCATGCAGAGACTTGATCAAACCATGACAGGCTTCACATTCCTAGGCTACTAAAAACACAAAGTAGTTGAAGGCTACTTTGTGTTTTCTCCATACCTGGAGCAGTATATGAAATTTCTCATTTATTCCTAAGGCATGATTTAATTGCCGAAATATCTTATGGGGGAGAAGAGACCCAGGAGCTTGTAGGTAGTTTCATTAATAAAACACCGGTTTTTAAACTTTAGATCTCATAGGCAACTGCAGTTTTTATTGATTTAAAAACATGCGGGCAATAAGTGACACTCAACCATAGGCTTCGGGGTGCATCCGAAGTTGTTTACCCTAGTCTAAACATGTGAATTTCTGCTGATAATGTTACCGGGCGGAAATTGGATTCCCCGTTTCAGATATTCTGACCGAACACAAAAGTCGCTTTGTGTTCGGATCATGCCACGAACGAGAATTGTATCCTCAGACAATGCCACACAACCGTGTCGGTGCGACAATGAGCGGTATTTTTGGTCAGGGTAATGCATCTCCCGGATCCTATGAGGTAAGTTTGATTTTCACTAAGCATGAACACATCCCCTACACTACCGACAGGTGGATATTAAAGATAATGTTCGAACAAAACCAACCAGTATCAAGGGATACAGTCTGGGTGCACGGACTGCACAGCGTCAAGGCATTGCAATCACAGTAAGTCAATCGACAAGGTAACGATACTTTCTTCCACAGGGCGTAGTCTCTCCGGGACCGGCTGCGTATGAACAAATATTGGCGAATAAAAAGTCATCCAAATGCAACTATAAACCGTTCAATCAATCATCCGACCGATTTCCAGAGCCCCCCAAGAGTGTTGGTGAGGTAGCTGGGTAAGTGGTACATAAATAAATTCGTCTGGAAAAAAGTTTGCCGCGAGGCGAGAAAAGTGGTCGGAAAGTCTATTGGATGCGGTCTTTCCAGTTCTGCTTGGCTAGCAAAATGGTGCTAACAGAATCGACCGGTTTCGACGACATTCATCGTTACCTCAAATAGTGGCACATTCGAATCTACCAACTTTGTTTAGTCCTTCGGTTTTTTTATGAATTTGTAGTTTACCGCTGTGTAACTGAAGTTTTGTGAAATTATTCCCGTTTGAGTAGTCATGAGAACACGAAATAGCAAACAAGCTCGTTTTCGGTGCTACCTCAATTGGCTAAATACAGCACAGCGGCGGTCAGACCATGACATGGGCTAGAGGCTGAGAGATATGGCCCAGAATAGAAGTCAGTGGCGCAAATGCTGTACGGTCTGCCTGTGGAAATCCCGTACCCGGTAAAAACAACAAACAACAAAAAATTCCAAAAAGTATACGGTGAAACAAACACAAAAAATTGTTATTCCACTTATTCGTACTCTTCTATTCCGACAGTTACGTCTTTTTCCCTATACTCTGTATTCCAACCCTTCCCCGTGTTATTGTTATTGTTAATATTGTTCTGGCGTTGGCGCCAAGCTTGTTCTCAAGCCGGTGTTAAATATATATATATTTATAATTTATAACAGATTAAAACAGGTGGAGAGAGGAGACAAATATCTGCAAAGGAAATCAGAGTTTAAGAAGAGATCATGGACTTGTGATAATTGATGTTCGTGAGTGTTTGCGTGGAAAGTGAGTGTGGTTGTGAATGGGTGGGTAGGTGAACGAGTGGTTGGTCATAAACTTAGGTTACGTCACCAGATTGTTAGTGGATGGCCATGGTAAGACCAATGTTTTTACAAACTGCTTCTGGGCGTGCGGAGACGGATGGCAATCGCCACGGCAGTTGACAAAATTCTGAACTTGACCTCTTTGGATAACCTACCCTTGACCATGTAGAGAGGACGGAAAGCCCCAAGCAAATTGACTGTGTGATTAGACTCAGTCAAATAGTTCGTAATTGTCGTCGCCTGGTCCTTGTTAATCTTGGTTTAACCAAACGGGGTGATGCTCCTTGATACGATCAGATAGACGCCTCACCGTTCGACCCACATAATTTGCTTCACAGGAACAGGTGAATTGATAAACACAAAATGAGATCGCACCAGGGGGTAATCTATTTTTAGTCTGCATAAAGAGGATTGCTTGGGATGTGAATATAACGCAGAGTTCAGCCGAAAAGTAGGTGAAATTTACTTTGTTGTGGTTTTTTCCTATCAGTGATACCACCGTTTAGATTGACTCTATTACGAAAAACATTTTCGTTGACCCGTGGTAACTGAAGATACATTATAGGACTAATTTCACTGTTTATGAACTAAATAGTTCTGATTAGGGATTAGAGGTTCCTAAACACTAAAACCTACCTCAGACGGAGAAACGGGGATACTCAATTAATCGTCAAGCGAACAATCGCAGCCTAACTACCGGAGAATCTATGGGTCCCATAGCAATATCACTTATAATGATGGGAGTAATAATAGCAACCTAAAGGATATTAGTTTTTGACTGATTTTGATTGGTTATTTGCTATCCTTCATCTTCATGACCTAAGCATAGATTTCATCCGGTCAACCTTACACTCAGTATACCCTGAAGTCCATCCTAAGACTGTTTAGAACGGATCAGTGGTACATAGCAAACATCACCTCTGGAATTCGAACTATGGACCTTTCATGTGTAAGGCATATGTGTTATCATTGCGTTAAGAAGCTCATATGAGAATTGCCGATTCAATGGGTTTTAGATGTCATTTGTTTGGATAGGTGGTAAGTTAATTTGGCCCCATTGACGTGAACGGTGGCATAGTAATATACCGATTAGCTGCAATCAAAAGCTAGATAAAAATCTCATCTGAACTAAGCAGGTGAATGTTCCCAAGAGATAAAGTTGAAATAAGTGAATGGTAGATCGTGGAATAGTTCTCTAAAGAGAACAATACTACTTCATCCTCCGGATCAGTGGAAATGCTACATTATTATCTGAGTTGAACCCGATGGATCAATGGTTACGAAGCAGCATATATATGCCGACTTGAGGACGGTGATGGTGTCTACTCGAGAACAACGAAAATAGAGAGACAGGGTTTAGACGTGTATGAAGGAAACGGGGAACAACAGATTAAAGGGAACGATTACGCACAAAGTATGTCAATACTGAACCGGTCGAAAAGAACACTCATCATCGTATGAACATAAAAGTCTACGTAAAATGCTCGTTAAATGATAAAAAATAACACTGCACTAGGTTATTTTATTTTAAATTACTAAACTCAGGAATGGACTGACAAATTAAAATGATAATTTCCATTGAGCTATTCAGTGTACTACCTTCCTTCCAAGGTTTACTGTGCAACCACATCGTCTTATTTACATCTCTCTCTCTCTCTCACACACACACACAATCTCCCAGAGTTGGCACATACGACCTGAGTGGACCCCGTTGTCACCGTATCCCATGGCAACGTGACACGATGCTCAAACCCATTGATCTGCCACAGGTGGACCAGAAAAGCACGATCCCGATTAACACAGACAAGGTGAGTAAACGATCCCTATGAAACTGTTCAGAACCAAGATCGAATTGTTATAATTCCATAAGGCGGTGCCCGCTTGAGGATAGTTGCTGATTGTGGATTACAGTTGGGACATCACTAATTTGGCATGTGTAACACAGAAAGCTCGTATGAAACATACCATCGCAGTTCCTGGTAGCACACCGGCTAATGGATGTAGCAATCGGTGGTTATTCTTTGAGTCCCAGCAATTTTGCCCTCGGTGGTCTTGTTAATTTTTGGTCGTCGAAAGAAATCACCAACTATTTTGCATACTACTCACAAATGTGAGTAGTACTTTATGACAGAACCAATGATCGAGACCACTTCAGTCTATAGATTGCTGGAGCAGGACATGCGACTGCCAAGGCTAAATTACGCATTGCGACAACCGAAGTACACACTAACGAGTTCAATCTACTTTGTCTCTCGATAAGCGTCGTTCAAATAAGCCTTTCGTGGATTGCACACATTTACACAGACACATACGCACACAAACACATTAGGTGACGAGCGGTGCAACTTTCGTTTGCTCAAGGTGCGTTATATTGCAGAAGAGCTAGCACAAAACGCAATTGATGAGGGACAAAGTACTTTGAGCTTAGTACTACCTATTTTGTTTCCCACAATCCTTAGCTTGATCTTCCTGATACGGAATTCTGTTTCATTCGAGATGATATGGTATCCGAAAAATAATGCAGTTTACAATTCTGTGTACGGTCGGTTCTTCATCATGAAGGTAGTCAAGCGGTCACGGCAACCATTCGATGTGTGCCAGGATCACAAATTAACCTAAGAAAGAAATATCATGGCTGCCGATAAGAGACCGATTTTAAGCTATTCAATAAACATGGAAATGTCAGCTGTTAAAATCAAACATGACCTATGGTGTTTGCTTACGTCCTAAATGGAATTAGACTAGGATATTCTGTTGTTTGTGGAATGGACCCTACACGAAATTACCCCTTCCCTGTGCAACCTTTATTAGATGACATATTTGTACACATCATAAAGCAAATCGTTTCCGCAACTGCATTCAGAAAAGTTGGTTACTTTGCAGGTTAATGCATTATGCCATGTTGCGTGAGAGGCTCATTCAGTTTGGGTGGAAGAACCAATGATTCCTGATTAGACGTCTGGGACCACGAACGATTTCATGGTCGAATTTGTACAATTTCGGCCCAATAAACCCGAGCAAAAGATAATTGAAAATCTATTAGCTATGCTCAAAACGAAAGAAACTAAGGTCACATCCAGTGCCGCTTGAATGTGGTGCACCTCACACACTTTGCTTCTTGAAAATCTGTTTCCTCGTTTGCACTAAATACCTCCTTCTCCTGCCAGTTTAACTGTTTCCTTTGCACCTTGCTTGTTGCTACTCAGATGCAGTGAATGCGTATGTCAGTGCATCAGTATCTCCAATTTTTTTATATTCTGTAAGGCCCAAACCAAAACCTCAGGCGTTTTTACTGCGAATCTAATTGATATTTTAAAGTGCTAGATGGTCGGGTCACTTGAACCCCAGTTAAGTACACAATCACGTACACACAGTTCCACTTGTTCCATTTCAATACACGCTCTTGAGCATGTAGGCCTCGACTATGACACAGTCAACCAACGCGGCATGAAGATGCAGCTTCTGTAGCAAAGGAAGTTCATTGCTGCACAAAAGCACCGTTCAAGAGTGTTTTCCACCTGTTGCCCTGTCTTCAAAACATAACCATACCGATTGAACAGCTGCGAACTGACCTAGAACTTTCAAGATATCACGACGGTGTATACGTGTTCATTTCTTCTACAGATAGGTCATCTGTTATAGGTTAAGTGAAAAAAGGATCTGTTTTGCACAAATACTGTTTCCTGTCAAAATGGGCTGTAACACTTTTAGATGTTAAAGACTCTCATCTGATATTGTTTATTAACCGAAAACAAAAATAAAGCTTGTTTCCTCGTCAAAAAGATCTACTATTTTTTAACAATGAAGGGCTCTAATTCATTGCAAGTAATACAACGGCGGACTCATTGCTATCTATTCCCGATGGTGGTGCAAAACAAACAAACATCAGGTTGTGACTCTACTAATCGAATAAATCAGACAGGTATTTAACAATAATTGACCGCATCTTTTTCCGATCTATTTGCAGCTTCCAACAACTACGGAGTGCAAAAGATATCAACGAAAACTGCGCTATCTTCAAATGTTTTTCTGATCCAATTCATCCACCGACTACCTACCTCATTTCCTCCCGCCAAACCAACAAATGCATGATCAAACCGCAGGTAGCCGATGGGAAAAGATTAAATTTTCTCAAACTACAAGAAAAACTCACGAGTTCGCGAATCAGAACTATCCGGGTTCCAACTGTTTCTTCTGAATCCTCCATTTAGAGTACGATGTGTTTGGTGTGCAGAATTATCAGCTTCATGGATCAGTATAAAGGCTATAATCTATTTTTATTTCCGTATTGCGTTTCCATGTTCCGGATGCCGTATACAGTGATAATCCGAGGAGAGAAACGAAAAGATTATTGAGTTGTCACGTTACAACCAAAGCCAGTGATGATTGGACGATCAAGCCGGTCTGCTCACATTTCCAGAATCAAAACTCACAGATGCTGAAATGTTTAACTCATATTGTTTCTGTTTTCCGTCAATAGGTTAAAGAGTCTTGTGAATCAAATCATCCGACTGATGCTTTTGTAACCCAAGAGAGAAACATTAGGTACAATTACGAGGCGCTTTACCGAATATTTTGTCGTTTGCATGCATTCAAGAGCTTCCAATCCTATTCTCCAAGCTCATTTCTAGATTACTGAACAGACATGAAGCATCTCACAGAAAACAGCTGGCATTTATTCGAAGTAAAACGCAATAAAATATAGCTTTAACTAGAATACATAAGTAACTACTTTCACCAGAACACTACAGATTATTGTGCCATGTTATGTCCACATGTTGATCTGAATGCTGCAGTGGCTTGATCAGAGATACCGAAAAGAAAAACAAATCTATCTTCGCCACTTTTGTACTTTTCTGATAGAATAAAAGTAGACAGAACACCAGGTGTGTTGGAACATCATCAATCTTGAACATGAGGAAATTAGGTGTCATCATCATCATCGTACAGCTAAATACAGTGAAGCGAACTTCACTGATCGCTGCCAAACTCGCAATGCACACAAAGTTATTGGTAATGTGTAAAATGGACAGGGATTGGATCTATTTTGAGGGAGGCAGAAGATGAGCCACTATGGTGAAAACACAGAGTACGCCATCGAACTCTGCATACATACTGTTTCAAGCATTCTGACCTGATAAGAAACGACAACAAGAACGCCACTGCGGCCGGTTCGCTGCCATATCCTTCAATGTCTCCGATCAACCAGTTGTAGAGTCTTTCGGACCCCAACCTGGAAGGCGAGAGACACCCATTCTATCTAATGGCTCTGTGCATTTTTTCATACCTCGACTCCACGTCATCTGTTGGTAACGATGCATGACCACCACTGTCATACTACGCGGTATCTTAGACCGTTGCGCATACAAGGCTCTAGTTTTCAAATTCACTTTGCCACCAACGAAGCTCTCAGAAGAAGGCTATTTATCTACATAACCAACTTGCCCTGCAATTCTGAAGGTCTGATCAGCTGCCGACGGTCAACTGGGTAATGTACTTGCGATCTATCTGTAAAATCTCGGGTTCGGTGGTTTCCTACTGCCGATGAGATTGAACTATGCCGAAACAGATCTGTGCATAACGCAATTCATCATATGATCGAACCAAATTGTCCATCACTTTGATGAAACTTCAAGTGTCTGAAATTACTGGGGTCATATATATAGTGCCCAATAATTAGTGATACAAGCATAGTTGAGAAAAATACTTGGCTTGATTTCCCATAATTAAATAGCTTTCGAGGAGTCATAATCATCAATGTAAAGGTTATATAAAGGTTTGCTGTCAATGGGCACACAATTTCACGCTCCATAGAACTCTATTTCAGGTTGCGGAAGAGCCTTGTATTGGACGGTCAATTATTGCGTGAAATCACTCACAACTGCAGTGTTAGTGATCAATTAGGGTCCTGGGAAAGCGGACAGCTTGGGCCAGTATGAGAGTTCAGCGACGGAAGTCACGTCACCAGATTGTAAGTGGATGGCCATGGTAAGACCAGGGTTCTTACAATCTCTATGTGGGTGCACCGGAGGGGGGGGGGTGGTGATGGTAAAGATGGATGGGAATCGCTTCGGCTGTTGATAAAAGTAGCGACTTGATCTCTTAGGATAACCTTCCTTCGACCGTATAGAGGACAGAAAGCCTCAAGCACATATACTGTACGATTAGGCGCGGTCAGACGGTA